GCCTGGACACCGGTGTTACACCACTATTCTTTATGCAAAGTAGTGCCATGGGATTTTTAATAACCACAGCAAGTCAGGACCTCAGTTTAACATCTCATCTGAAAGACGCTGCTCACTGCCAGAATAGTGTCCCCGTCACTTTAGCATTAGAACTCGCATAGACAACATGCTGAATGTCGCCTGCTGACCTCACTAACACCACCTCCAACAGCAACCTAGTTTTAGCATGTGGTCTCCCATCCAGATACTAACCAAGGTCAACTCTGCTTGGCTTCAGCGAGTTACCGATCTTGGGTTGCAGGGTGATATGGCTGTGGCATTTAAATGTGTTAGCTCTCTATTGCTAAAGGTGCTAGGGGAACGCACTCTTATTTCAATGAATATAACTCTTTACTGAAACTGTTTTGTTGAAATGCATCAAAGTATATTGTCTCTATTCAATGAGAAATGGATACAAATTTTCAAAAGGTGGCCCCATTTACGTTGCCCACTGTATCTATGTGGATCCATCCATCCCTCATATCTAGTTATCTTCAGTTGCAATGTTTGTGTTTTCATTGGAGTAAACACTTCTAGTAATTTCACAGCACTTAAATATTCAACATAGGCTCGTTCTAAAAACATAGCACTGTATATGCTCCTGAAGATTGCAAATTATGTAGCCAGAGGTACTTATGGCTGCATTTCATCTTAAATACAAATGCTATGGGACAGTATGACTTCGTACCTTTTCATGCTTACCAGCTGACAGCTTACTTCTTTTGTGCGCGACTGTTACCAATTTATCCAGTTAGCTCACGATGTATGTCGGCAGACTTGAGAGGCAGAAAGGAGTTAACCATGAAGACGTGGTTCGAGTCAGGTTCGAGAGGATAACAGGGTGAGAATGTGGTAAAATCTGAAAACATGGTAAAAATCAGGCAAGGGTTTTTCATTTTTTTTGGATCGCTTTTTAAAACTGTCGGTTGGGTTTATGGAAGTGGGTGGGCGGGTCAATTGATGCTTTTGAAAACACTATTGGTTGGGTTTAGGGAAGGGGGAGTGTGGGTCAGTCGATCGGTCAGTCAGTCAGTCGACATCTCTGGTCGCCTCTGGTGGATTTACCTGAGAACAACAGGCACAAATGGCACTTGCAAGATAAATTTGAGATCTCAATAAACATACACAATGGCCTTTGGTGGATTCATGAAAACAAAAACAATAAAACGCAGCTACTGGGACACATTTGGCACTCTCCAGAAATGTATATAGTGGTACGTTTTCAGAATGAGCTTGGTTTGAAAATATATAACATTGAATAAAGCGAACAAGTGGTGTAAACAACTTTTGGTATGATTCTGTGTTGTTTTAACATCCTTTTTGAAGTTTTTGAAGTCTCCTGCATGGAAAAGTGTATTAAAAAACATGTAATTATAAATGCCTCTTTTTGAGTTTCACAGAAGGAAAACAAATGTCGTATGAATTTGGAACAGCATTAGAAGACTAACTTAATCACATACATTTTATTTATTTATTTTATTTTTTGCATGAACCAGCCATCCATATAAACTCAAGATTTAAGGGGATTTTCCCTGTAATGCTTCTGAGGTTGCTGTTCCATGACGGCATTGTGGGAAAGCTGTGGTTATAAATAAAAATTGAGGAGTTAAAGATTTATGGAAACTGTAATATTTTTATGTTACACTCCTCTTAGGATGAATCATTTGTTTTGTAGCGGCAGTAAGTGGTTTCAGATAAAAGCATCAGCTAAATGAATACTAAATGTCAGTTTATTTAGGGACTTCAAGAGATAGTTCTCCCCAAAAATGAAAACTGTGTCATCATTTCCTCACGCTCAAACCATCATAAGTTTCTTTCTGCTGTTGAACACAAAATAATATATCTTGAAGAATCCTGTAAACCAGTAGCCATTAACATCAAAACCAGCTATTTTATTTTTAATTCAATGCTTACTGGTGTATGACATACATCAACACATCTTTTGTGTTAAAAATGTTATAAATTAAATTATATATATATATATATATAATTATTATTATTATTATTATTATTATTAGTAAACCACACTTTACTGAACTAAACTAAACTTTAACTCTGAAAACTGGACTGGCTGCTTTGACAGAGTTTACACTATAAAAGCACTATAAAAATAAGGATGAATTGAATTGAATTTGAAGTGAATCTTTTACAAAACCATGGTGTTCACTCCAGTTTCTGGACTTGCTACATCCAAGACATCAGCATTTTAATGATTTGTAAAAGGACAAACATGAGACTAGACATGAATATAAACATTACAAGCATGATTATAAGTAGTATTCCAGCATGTTGTGAGCACATATGCAATCCGGGACCACAAAACCATCATAAAGATTTTTCTTTTTTTTCTTATGATTTTTTATTAATCATATGTGTAATTTTTAAAAATAAATTAGCTTTCCATTTATGTATGGTTTGCTAGAATAAAACAATATATTGGTCGAGTTACAACTATTTGAAAATGTCTAAACTCTGAAGGTTAAAAAAAAATAAATATTGAGAAAATCATAGCATTTTTTTTCATCAGCAGCACAGAGCAACAGTTCCCTTATGCCTAGTTCAGACTGCGTGATTTTAGCCCCGATTTTGCCTCGCCGACAGGTTTTGAGAAATCGCCGACAAATGCCTGAAATCACAGGCAAATCGCTGCTCGTGCCATGAGTGACAATCACACAGTATGAACTATCAAAGAGGCGATCTGAGAGAATCGCAGATGAGTCGCCGATGCCTGTGAGATATTTGGCATGCTAAATATCTGGAGCTGTCGGCGATTCAAATCATGCCGTGTCAATTGAGTTTTAACTGAAAATAACATCATTGATCGCCTACAGCCAATGAGAGAGCAGCTTTCACTTGTGTGTGCGTGTGTGTATACCTGCTGCAGGCTAGCGGGAGGCTGGGGGAGAAGTTAAAAGCGCTCTTTTTCGGTTTATTTGGACCCACGAAATGGAGGAAAAATTAGTGGAGGTTTGACAGGACTCAGGAACAACCGTCTCTGTTTGACATTTCATACAGAAAGAAATTAGTTTATTAATAACTTTGAGGAGAAATGGCTAATTCCCTTTAAACCCAGGTGAGCAAACATGTACATGTTCTACCCCATTAAAGGCTTCTTTCTTATTATGTAGTTAATAACAAAAGATATACTACATGTTTTTGGCTGTGAGACGTAGTTTGGACGAAGTTGTCGGCGATTCTCCCTATAGTAAAGTCATGCAATGTGAATGTCCATGTCGCCGAACCATCTTGCAGTGTAAACAAAGCAGCGACGAAACGCAAGCCCAGATAGTCATGCAGTGTGAAAACATCTGCGACACGACTAGTTTGAAAATCATGCAGTCTGAACTCGGCATTAGAAACAATGCAACAACCGTCAAACTGCAGAATGATTCCGCAAAACTTTTGCGTAGATTGTTTGTGAATTATGGCTCTGTGTACAGTCGTAAAAGTTGCTGCATCTGAAAACATCTTTTTCTAATCTTTTAAATCGTCAATAATCTTTTGCCAAAGTCCCTTTAAGACAAGTCTTTTTACTCTGCGGCCATCTTTGAAATGCCTCTCAGGCAGTATGCTCCAGCATTTTGTCTCAATGGTGAAATATAAACAAAACTGAAGCTTACAATTACATAACATATTTGGAACCACCAATAAAACGAAGCAACAACTGTCTCATAAGTTTCGCTTCTAAATGTCTAAATCAAACAAAATCTGCATATTTTCAGGGTGCCAAAGCTAATGTGCACTCAAAAGGAAACAGATCACAACACCAACTTCATTTATGGCCAGTTTTTAAAATGATCATCCTCTTAATAACGCCTTATCCGATTACACTGCTCTTCTGAAGTAATTCACAACTTCGTCTTGATGGTGAATCTCCTCCAGAAATGACAGTGACTTTGTTTACAAGTTTGTGGGCATTTGAGTAGCTGCTATCATGTAATGTGTGTTTGACAGGATGGACTGTACATCGCTTTCGTCTCATACAGATTACAAAACCGAAAAAAAAAAAAAAACTTTGTTTTTAGGTGCACTTGGTTCATTTAAAAGCACAGATTCCAGGCTTTATGTATTTCTTATGTCTCTGAAGCAAGTATTTGCTTCCAGTGCACTTGTTGACCACCAACAAGTTTTCCTTGGAGAAACATCAGTCAATAGGGATCGATGATTGACTCCTGTAGTAGTAGGCGGGGCTTCATTTGCCATACTGACTGTTACACTTTTCCCCATTTAAAGTAATATGAGTGACATGTCTCGTGTATTGTATAGTCTTTGCTTTTCTGTAGATTATCAGTAAGGTATTGCTCTGTGTATAATGTTAGACTTTGCCACACTTTTAATTATTTACTGCTTAAAATACCCAGTAAAATACCTCATACATTCATTACGGTTTACTACAGTAGTAAACACTGCATTGTGGGTCATTTTTATTATAACAGTAAGTTCCCGCGCTGTTAGGAATTTGTGGTATTCTACTGTAAATAAAGTATTTAAGTACTGCCACTGTAGTTGAAGACAAAAATGTGACAGTTGATGAAAATATTAGTCAATTGTTTGGAATGTATTAAATTCAGTATTTAATACTAAAAATACAAGTTTTGTACTTCTAGTGTAAAATGTGAATAAATTACAGTAAAACTACTGTAAAAATTGTCATACTGTAAAATTAAAATGTAATAAAGAGCACTGCAGTAGGTCCCTACTACTATAAAACCCATTTACAAGTAAGTTATTGACCTAAATACATACAACTGAATGTCTAACAGTGTAGTAAACGCTGAAAGCAGGTCCTGAAGATTTACAACTCATTACAGAGCCAGTTTCACTGCTAAAATGCACATGAATATCATTTTAAATAATCACCCAGAACTTCCTCGTTATGATAGAACATTTGGACTCATAAACTGTGATGTCAGATGTAATAACCTTACATCTTTCATCATAAAGCACATTGTGTCTCTTACCTGCAGTGCACATCGAGGCGGCAGGTGTTGCGCAGTTGCAGGCAGTTTGGCTTGTTCTTGTCCTGGTAGGAGCATGAGGGAACGATGGTCTGCCTCCTCCTCTCAGCACAGGCCTGATCTTTGCAGGCACAGAAAAGCAGGCCGTAGCTGTACTGCGTGTCGACTCGCTCGAAGAACTGCCGCAGGGCTTTATGGCAGCGCTTTCGGTTGCAGCCTTCCTGTGTCTGCGTCTGTGAGGGCTGCTGGCCTTGTGTCTGTGCACGTGTGCAGGTGGAGATGTAGTTGGAGCGCTGACGCTTGCAGTTTTCATTCAGGTTGCAGGCTTTGGTAGCATCCAGACAGGGGTTGCAAGGGCGGCTCGGGTCAGTGCAGTGTGGCTGGCCTTTACTGGTGCCTGAATGCATGCCTGCAAGGGGACACAGGACAGATGAGTTTATGAGAGTAAATTAACCCTTGAATGTTGTTAGGGATGTTTTCATCCACTCTAGTGTAAGTCTTGATTTGGCCACAAGTTACTCTGTAGAATGATGAATGGAATGATTTTTGGTGGCAAATCTTATTTTGACACATTTTAGGAAATGCTTTGAACTTTTTCAAAATTTAACAATATACTTTGGGCAAATTTCTTACTGTTTCATTATGTTCGTGGCTGTGTTTGCCCATTGACTTCCATCATAATGACATTTTTGATTGGAAAGCAATGACACCATATAATTCTGCATTTTTAAATGTTACTGGTTTTCCCAGTTGAGAAGAGGTACAATTTAATTTTTTTTACTGTTGATCACCAGTTGCAGTGCAAAAAAAAGCTTACCATAGTTTTGGCTTACTACTGTATATACTATATGGAGTGTAGTGTGTGTGTGTCATGCGTGGGTGCTTGCATGTGTATGGAGTCAATCTAGGGCCATGTATACCAGGGTTAAGCAATAAGGAATGCCCTATGGACCGGGGCCAGCGCAAGATATGCTTGGGAAAGTGGACAGGATCATTACTGGCCCAATCGGGACAGTGCTGCCTCACCTCTAATGTTTAATTTGCCTGCGACTATTTGTCAATTGCATGCATTTTAAGTTTGTTCTTTTAAGTCTTTACATGTACATTCACTGTGATGTTGCAAACATCATATTGCTTTTCGGTTTCTCTAATCTGATTTGATGTTTTGGGCATGCAATTTTTTTTTTTCCCGTAACCTGGTAACAAACAGTACCTTGAAGTGATAGCAACATGAAATTTTAAAGGTAAACGAAATTTCTGTTTCTGACGTCTTAGAAGCAGACATTTACATGGGAACAACACAAGTAATAAATATATACTGATGTTTTGCACAATTTGCTGTGAGTTTGGCAAGTCAGCCACCTTCTGTTAAATAATTTTGAACTGCAATAAAATACCTGCACATTTTCCATATGGCTTTTTGTTTGCAGAACACTTTATATTTTGCATATATATATTTAATATTTGTAAAAAAATTAATTATAGATTTACTGACATTGTTTTTGACACATTATTTAATATATGTGACTAAAAATAGCTAATTAACTTCTCTCTTTTTTTTCTTTCTTGAAAATTTTGCCAAATCAAGTAAAAATCGAAATCATTTTCAGTTAACCCTTGTAAACACTTGCAAAATAAAAGAAAATTTTGCAAACAAAAAATAAAGTATTGAGCAAAATTAAATAAATAAAAGCAAATCTCCAAAAATTGCAAAGCAAAAATTAATTTTTGACAAATAAAACTAAATTTTGCTATCAAAAATAAAGAACTGCAAAGGGAAAATTAAGTCTTAAAAAATAAGAATGAAATTTGCAAACAAAAAAAAGAATGTGGGGGCCCTGATTTGACAAGGGAACTTGGGTGTTTACGGCAGGCCAAGACCTGCCTCCATTTATGCAACGTCATCACCTGGAGACACAGTTTCACTGAGGTAGTTTTACAGCCCAGTAGGTCCGGGCCTGCCGTAAATGCTTAAGATCCCTTGTCCGCCCCCTTGTCAAATCAAGGCCTCAAATTGAAGTGCAAAGTGACGACTGCATCGCAAACTCATGGCTGACTAAAAAGCTAATCAAAATGAGCATTGCAATTGACTGGACAGTTTTATTTTAAGTTATTTTTTTGTTGTTGTCAAATGTAATTTTTATTTCTCAAAACTTAATTTTCCCTTTGCAGTTATTTTTCTGGCAAAAAAAAAAAAAAAAAAAGCTTTATTGCATTTTTTGAGGATTTGTATTTATTTATTTATTCATTTATTTATTATTGCCCAATACTTTTTTTTGTTTTTTTTTTGTTTGCAAAACTTAATTTTATTTTGCAAGTATATATGGCCCTAGATTGACTCCATACATGTGTGTGAGAGAAACATTGCATCTCTGAGAACATTAAAATAAGCAGCTCAGCAACACAGACAGACACACTAATCTGCTGTTTTACTTCATAGAACTCCATATAAAGATATAAACATGTTTTGCACAGCCCTATCTACAAGGTTAATGCTGCAAACTGATAATCAACAGTAAAACAAACTCTTCCCAATATACAAAAATAAGTCTTATTTACAGTTCTTGACAGATGAATAGGACAAACCCCAGTACAACAATGAATTCCTATATCTGAGTCAGTGTCCTCACTAGCTACTGTATGTTTCCATCCAAAGATGCATATTAGCCTTCTGCGCAAAATGGTAATATTGCATAAAACACTTGCAAATAAAGCACTGTTGCCATCTTGTTTTTCATCATGTTTCTATAAGTCAAAAAGAACAAAATCATCACTTACATTAAAACTTTTGCCAAATATCAAAAATAAAAGTGGGAAATGGTGTGTGTACGAGAAGCCACTGTAGGCCTTTTTTTATATAATCTTTGGGAGCTCTTCATAAGCAGAGCCACACAGTTCTGGAAGTAATAATAGCAAAACACTTTGATGACGAACTTAGCTAAGAGACTTTGGAATGACCAAAACACAATCCCATCACATGACTTTTTGATGCACATTATGGAATTTATTCAGTGAATGCGTCTCCATCGTAGTTTATGCACATTTTTTGTTCTTATGGTATAAAAAGTTTATCCTACTCAAGTGTGTGCATACATTTTTATGCGCATTTTCAAAATTGATTTGCATCTTAGCATTTCCATCATGCGATTTTTTTTTTTAATGTCACATTCCAAAATGCACATAAAAAGTAGGTTGATGGAAGCATAGCTACTGAGCTGCAGAAAAAAAAAATACACACACACACACACGCACACACACACACACACACACACTTACACACACACATACAGTACTCTCAAACACAAACACACACATATTGGTATACATAACATTATGAAGTTTTTCTTTTGGCATTTTTTAGAGAGATGATGATATTTTCTGAATCCTTACCATAACTCTATCCCTAAACAAAACCCAGCTTTCAATTTTCCAATAATTCAACAGACTAGAGTCAATTATTCCACTTCTACTATGGCTAACACACGTGAAGACATTCATGGCATGCTGTATTTAGTAAAATTATCTGTTCTAAACACTACTCCGAGTACTTAGTGAGCATTATGTTGTGAAAATTATAACAGCTTATAGCCTGCAATTTAAAAATGTATAGCTTACATCAGCGACATTTTCTTTTAAGTGTGTTTCCACACTCTAAAATAAAAAAATAAAAATAAATTAATAAAAAAACTGTTGCCTTAAATTTTTAAGCTGAATCAAATTGACCGTATGTTAAACTGAGCTTGCATAACTTATAAAATTAAGTTAGAACATGATTAACTAGTGAACTGAAAACATGCTGTCATGACTAATAGATCATATACTTTTTACAGTGTAGGTACAAGTTAAATCATTTGCTATTCATGGACTATAAATTTTAAATGTTAAATTAATTTAAGAACACATTACATCAATATGTGCACTGACATGTTCATTCTTATTATGCACTTTTAACCCTCACTAAGCAAACCAAGCTCATGCAGCACTGATAGAATACATGCAGTCTGTGAGAGCATTTGAAAATGGAACATTATATAGCCTAGTACATTTATTTATTGTTTAAGCTCATTTGTTGATTTCAGTCTACAGCAGGCATTCTTTATCTTCTTATCAGTGACGTAGTCTAAACAGTCTCTTGTCATTGGATGTAATGATTTTGCTTCTTCTTGGACACTTTTAATGCTTCCACACTGTAAATGTTCACTGCAACAATAAAGGGTCCATGGCTTGAAGTCAGTCTCTCTTATGTGATTTTTCTTATGTGATGTGTGTGAATGCAAGTGTATGGGTGTTTCTCAGTGCTGGGTTGCACCTGGAAGGGCATGCACTAGTTTTTGTGTGACGGTTTAGTCACTTACAGTTGAGGTCAGAATTATTAGCCCCCTGAATTATTAGCCCACCTGTTTATTTTATTTCCCCCACCCCAATTTCTGTTTAACGGAGAGAGGATTTTTTTCAACCCATTTCTAAACATAATAGTTTTAATAACTCATTTCTAATAACTGATTTATTCTATTTTTGCCATGATGAAAGTAAATAATATTTGACTATATATTTTTCAAGACACTTCTATACAGCTTAAAGTGACATTTAAATGCTTAACTAGGTTATTTAGGTTAACTAGGCAGGTTAGGGTAATTAGTCAAGTTATAGTATAATGATGTTTTTTTTTATTTATTTATTAATTTTTTTTCTGCAGACTTTTGAAAAAAAATAGCTTAATGGGGTTAATAATTTTGACCTTAAAATGACTTTTGAAAAAATAAAAACTGCTTTTATTCTAGCCAAAATAAAACAAATAAGACATTATTTAAAATATCTCCAAAAGAAAAAAAAATATTATCAGACATACTGTGAAAATTTCATTTCTCTGTTAAACATCCTTTGGGAAATATTTAGAAAAGAAAAAAAAAATTTAAAGGCGGGTGATAATTCTGACTTCAACTGTATATCTTATTCAAGCCTTTTTTTTTTTTTTTTGAGGTTCAGGTTAAAATAAAAATATTATCAGACATACTGTGAAAATTTCATTTCTCTGTTAAACATCCTTTGGGAAATATTTAGAAAAGAAAAAAAAAATTTTAAAGGCGGGTGATAATTCTGACTTCAACTGTATATCTTATTCAAGCCTTTTTTTTTTTTTTTTTTTTGAGGTTCAGGTTGTGAATTTATTTAAAAGAGCAGAAATTATTTGCCATACAAAATATGGAGCCGTCATGTGGTCAAAAACTCATCAAAAACTGGAACCACTTTAACTGTGGGATTCAAGAGTCAAGGACTCAAAAGCCCCGCAGTATAAAATGAGATATTTAGTCAGTACCAAACTCAAACTATTCTAATGAAACAATTTAAGATAAAATAAGATAAAATAAGTACACCCCAATGAATATAAAATACAATATAGGCAGAGGA